CCCCCCGCCGATCCGACACTTCCATTTCCCGCCATGTCGAAACCTTGATGACGGACCGCTGCACTACATGGGCGATACCTTCTTCCTTGTCACGCAAGACGGCCATATCGAGGACACTTACGCTCCCGTTTCGTCATCTGTACCATCCTCCTTCCGATCGGCTTCAAAAGGTCCCGTCCCCATCCAGTCCTCTCTCGCCGCGACGTCAGGGTCCGCCAGACCAGCGTTGCAGTTATACCGCACGAAGCCCACTCCGGGATGTAGTCAGGGAAAGCGCCCAGCGTCAAGGGTGGCTTCCGCAGGCGAGTCAAGACCACGTTCGCCGAGTGCATCACATGGCGGCGCCAGTTGAAGGACGATGAACACGCCGCCACGAGAGTCGGCTTCACCACCAGCTGCGCGTAGTAAGACGCCTCGTCGTAGGAGCGCGCATCGTCGCCTCCCATGCGCATGATCCACATGCACGCGGCGAGAAGCAGGCGGAAAGCATCCCCGATTCTGCTCAGTCTCTGGTGTGACAATCTACCGCCGTCCCACCACTGCCCGGCCCGGAGCGCGTCGTGGAAGCATGACACAATATGCATCACAGTCGCCTCCTGGTGCGCGGCCATGTCATCGTCCTCCGGCCTGTTCTCGATATATGCCCCGGCGAACCACACTGGGATGTCCATCTTCAAAGCGACTGTGTGGTACACTACGGCGGGAGGCACTATCCTCGACCACTCAAAGCTCTGCCAAACTGCTCTTGCCAGGTCAGTGGGGTAATCTGTGGCGACGTAGGACTTCGCGTGGGCGAAACCATCGAACCTTGAAGACGACCTGAATATCCACCCGTGGATGACGCGCATTGCCACGTTCTCCGTTCGTCTCGCCCGTTTGAGAGCTGGCTCTCGTTGTGCGCCATCTTCGATCCGCACACGCGGGACTTCGGGGGGCGGCATCATGAGGCCTTGTGGAGCGCTGGCGCCTGCATCTCCATTGACGATCGCGCAGAAGTAGTCCGCGCAGGAATGCACCGCGTCCGCGGTCATCCGTCCGAGGCCGGTTGCCCAGAACGCTTTGTCGTCTACCCACAACTTCGATTTCGCCTCCAACTCCTCTTGGCTAGACCTTTTCTTCCTCGCGCTCAAAGGCTAGTCGTCCTCTTCTTCCCCGCACGGAGTCTCCTCCCTCCTCTCCTGTTTTCTCCTCGCCTCTTCCACCCTCCTATCTTCTCGCCTTTCTCCAACACCGAGGGCGGCGGCATGGCCAGCGGCGCTCGCTGCTTGCACGGATTGAAGCACATCCCTCGGTGAAGCGGCGACGATCGTCGGGTTTGACGCCTCCACGTGGCGCGATGGAGACTCACCTACCGGAGCTTTTTCGCCGCCCCCGGACACAGATGCGATGGTGGATGCAGAACCCACGGCCCTCTGCGGCGGAATGTCACCGGGCGAAACTCCTTGCGCACGAGCCGTCCCGCCACCGCCGCCGCTCGTGGACGTCGGGACGCCAAGGTTGGTGAGCGCAAGCATACGCTGCCTGCTCATACAGTCACGCCCGAACCCGAGCACAGGCGTCCCTTTAGAAGTGATGTCCATTGGCGTCTCCTCCTCTCCCCCGTCACCCCCCATCTCTCCTTCCGACCCGTCTCCCGCGCGGAGCTTCTTCGACTTTGGGATGTGGCCCCTTCCTGTTTGCCCTGCACCCGCTTCGCCGGAACCACCGTGTGGACGTTTTGCCTTCTGCTGGCCACGTGGCGCCATTCGCTGACGGTCGGATGCGCATGCCCCGTGAACGAAAACGGACTACCGCAGCGCACGAGAGGAAGTCGCCAGGGATCGTCTTGCACGGGCAATGTTCAGCTCCCTGCGCAGCACAACGGGAACCCCACGCGTGGCCTTGCGTGCAGTCGATAAGCAAAAGACTGGGAGAAGACAGCGCTCGCGCGGACCTTTATAGTGTTCGCGGTGACATTTCCCCTCCCTCGGCGCGCAGATCCCGCCCGGACGGCCTCCACCACACCCCTCCACGCGACGACAGCGACGATCACCCATTCCGCATGCGGGGAGACCACCCCAAATACCCAGGGACAATGCGGTCCGAGGAATGGACGGTCCTGCCCTGGAGAGCCAGCGGCTCAACATTTCGAACCGCGCGAGGGTGCACGGCCATCGCGCACAGTGCCGCACACCATCCCCCGCCTTCTTTCCTAGATTTATGTCGTCGTTCGGAGGACCGACACCACATTTCGCGACGGGCGAGATGGCGGGCGATTCCACTTCAACGGCTTGACAAACCTCACGCCAACGGCGTCAAGATCTATCCCTTATCGCTCTGGCAATCTCCATCAACGATGTGCACATCATCTTGTTCGCCTCATCGGACGCCGTGTAATGCCTCTCCAGTATGTCACACTGGCGCTTTTGGGCTTCAACCTCCCGATCGAGGATGTCACACTGCCGCTCCAGGATGCTACACTGTCGTTTGCTCGCACCCTCTACCGTGTCCGCCATCAATGAACCGTGTTTGTCCATGACATCGACGATGACGTCAAAGGTCTGCTGCCGCATGTTCTTCCTCTTCGCTGGAGTGCCCGTGCTCCCTGCACTGAACCCCGTCTCCCGCGCTGAACCCGCATCTTCGTCAACGCCATCAACCCCCTCTCCACCACCAGAGGACTCTCCACCAACAGCCGCCTGGCGGTGACCATCCATTGCTGCCGGCACTCCTCCGCGTGCGCTCGTGTCTGCCACGTTGTCCGGGTAGATGGTCTTGTTATTTTTCGACATTATGTCGATCTCATTGAAGACTCGCTCATCCATTCGGAAGTTGAAACCCTCGTCCGCTCTCATTGCAGGAGATAATGTGAAGAAGTTCTTCCCACCGGACATGTTCTGGTAACGCTGCACCTTCTTGTACTGCTGGAAGACGTTGTCCCACTTCTTCCCTATGTCGTCCGTTGTCCTGTCCACTCCGACCTCCGCCAGCCGCTTCTGCAGGTCCAGCAGCTTCCACTCCCTGTTGCGCATGCGGCCGTAGTTGTGTGGCATTCCCTCGAAATGAGCTTGCTGATCCCGCTTCGCTCGAGCGAGCTTCAACATCTCCTCCACACTCCAAGCTGGGTGCTTGCCCACAGGAGCCCTCGATCCTCGGCCACCACGCGGCTCGCCCCTCTGCTGATGTCCGCGTCCTCCCCTCCGTCCACCACGAGCAGCCACGGGTCTGATCTCCAGCCCCTCACCGTCTTCCGCGTCCTCTTCGTAACGGGAATCCGGAGACTCGTCCCCACTCGCCCGACGGCTTTYGTCCGCATCCACGTCGCTCCCCACACGAAGCCTGGACGCACTGGTGGTTATGTTCTCCGTGGCAGCACGCCGCATCTGTAGACGGCAGTTCTCCCACGCCTGCCTCCCGATGTCTTCCGGTGGAGTCCCATCATTGATTGCAGCACTCGCGGTCGCCCTCTGCCGCATTGTAGGCGAAGACACCGACGGGCGGATGGGTGTCACTGCCCTTGACGACTCGCCAAGTGGCCCGGCGCCCATGGAACTCGGGACCGGTGGACGACACCCATTTGTCGACCCACCGACACGGGACGATCCTCCTCCCAACGTCAGCGATCCCACCACCCCTCCGCCGTGGATCGGACCACTTGCACCACTCCCGCTGCACAATCCGAAATCCAAGTCCACAAGCTCCGTGGCGGCGTTGTCGACACCCTCCTCCAGCAATGCGGTGAACGACTCGCGCGTGGTCCCTGCTTCCCTCTGCTGGCACTGCCTGCTCGTCCACTCCTGCGTAGATCCACTCCCCAGAGGAAGTGTGTGCGACGGATCCTCGACCCAGGCGTCCTCCGGATCCGGCGGTAGCGGCTGTTCGTGTGGTGGAAGATGACTGTACAAGGACGGGTCATATGCGGCGGGTCGATGGCGGGACCGGGGCCGATCTGGAATGGAGAAATCCATCACACGTCTCTGCTGTCCGACGGAGCTGTCCCGCCTGTCCATCGTCGTCTTCCTATCCACTTGTCGTCTCTGTCTACGCCCACGAGGCCGCGTCACGACGAAGGCGCGCAAAAACACGAGAAGAAGCAGCAGAAGAGATGCTAGTAACAGGAGCGGTAGCCGCCAGAAGATGTCTGCCATGAAACGCACCACGTGTAGATGACCCCCCCAACGGACAACCCTCACGCGCGCACGCGAATGGCAACAAACGGGCCGGCCGGCGAGAACATCACACCCCGCACATAAAACACATTTCGAAATATTCGACCATTGGACACGACGCCCGACGAAGTGCAGAAGGAGAACCCCGCCGCTCTGACGTCTGTTGCACCCGAAGCGGGACCCCCGGCCGTGTACGCGCGAACGGTAACACCAGAAGGCCGTTGGTGACCTCCCGCTGGTAGCAACCCGATATTGTCCACCCGATGGACCACGGACGTCATGTGCACCAGCAAAAACAGAAACTTCCCGTCACGACGCACGCTCGACRACGGCCCGTCTATCGCGGATCCTTGAGCCCAAGGGACCTCTCGAGGACCCCTTGAATCCAAGGACRCAATGGCTGGGGATTCAGAGGGACCCAAGGAAATCTCTTGGGAGCGTTTTCACATTTTTTCAAGGATTTTTGTTTTTTAGGACAAGGTGTAACCATAACTTTGGACATTCCTGAGGATTTTCAAGGAGGGTCTAACGAGGCCCTAATTCTCAAATCCGCAAAATCCGATGATGTTTTCAGTCACACTTTCCCCCCACCCCCAACAAAATCACAAACAGTGTAGCATTTGTCAGCGGCCTGGTGGGCCGCGAGGTTCAGCAAATTGCGAGGACCTCTAGAGGTCCTCGCAAATTCGCAGTTCATTTTTGGAAAAAAAAAAAAAAAAACCTCCGCAGGCCAGAAAACGAAACTTCGTGCATACTACAGTCCACATTTGCTGTGTTCAGATGCCAACGGGACAGTCACACAGCCTCTGTATCATTTTTGGAGTCATGCGCAGCAAAATGCCCGTGTGTAACGGGTTTGTACGTAGTGGCGGAGTTCCTTCCGCCCCCAGGTGAGTTCCGTACCCGCTTGCGCTGCCCTTCCGCCCTCCTCCGCAGTTTCTCCCCCCGTTCCCGCATGCGAATAGTCCTGCCCTCCGCGAGATTAGTCAGGCCCTCCGCTCCCCTCCGCGCGGTTTCAGGGCCTCTCCCCACTTCCTTGTTTCTGTGCTCCCACCGCACCCAGTCTCCAATGCTGTCCACGTTCATCGGTGAATTGCACCTGGTCAGTTCACCGTATGTGACACAGTTCGGAGAAGCGGGAAGATTTCACATCCCTGCTTTTTCCCTGACTTTCTGCACGTGGTGACGTTCACAAGTCCGCGAACGCGTCCGGATTCGAGTGCCGAGCCCATTCCCGTTACCTGCCGGGACTGGGCGTAATGGAAGTAGGCCCTGCGGTACCGCAGTTGCCGCTGCCAGGCGAACCCTTGGACGACATGACCGTGCAGGCCCAAACGTTATAGGGAACGGAAAAAAAAAAAAAAACCACAATAAAAAAAAAGAAAAAAAAGTTGAAAGCCCAATAAAAAATATTCCACCATCTGCTATCAGCTGTGTGACCACGCTGATACCAAATGGACAGATTTTCAGAAAGCCGGGGCCATGTCTTATTCACAAAGGCAGCCGTGTGTGAGTACGCAGTGCAGCTAAACCTCAAAATCGCTGTTGCAAAATCGCATATTCTGCAATTTTGCTATTTGTGTGTGAGTATGCCCTTACTTCGGCTTTTTTCTTCCCATGGTTTTGCTGTTATTTTTTCTTCTTTAAGCTCCCCCTATACTGTGCCTCTCACGTACAGGCTTGTAACGGTGATGAAGTTGCGCACGAGCTGCCCGCATCCCCATGCGCCATAACGGCAGAGGCAGAGTAAAGGGACAAGGGGGAAGACAAAGTCATGACTACACTGGATGGGGGGGAGAGAGAGAGAGAGAGAGAGAGAGAGAGAGAGAGAGAGAGAGAGAGAGAGAGAGAGAGAGAGAGAGAGGACAGTGGAATGAAGATGAAAGCACAGGAAAGGATAAGAGAAGGCTCACGAGTGAGTCTGTCCTTGGTGACATGGAAAACCTAGCTGAGCATTTTCAGCACAACAATTGCTGCAATGGCTGGCATTAACCATGCCCACCAAACACTTCTGAGGAACGTCATGTCGGTTGCCATATATGTAAAGTTTGTAAACACACCTTCGATCATTGCTTCAGCATTGATTATGTTTGCTTCTTTTTGAAGGATCATAAAGTCATTCATAACCGCATCAACTTTGGCTTCTGTTGGTCCAGGATTTATGGTGAAGAAAGTGGTAGATGGCACAATTGACGCCTTGTACACAGTACCCTTGATGTCCAAAAGGAGGGTCTGATTATTTTGGCCGTCCTCCCCAGCATCTCTGCGGGCAATAAGGCGGCCGACGGCACCGACATCGCCGCTCAGGTCAAGATCAGCAGCATCACCATCACACTCCACGAGAACCTGCTCCCACCACAAACCGAACAGCCAATCAATCCGAACAGCGCACCCAAACAGACACTCAGCCTTCCTGCTGCATCTGAATTCCTTTCCAAGGAATCCAAATGCGAGATGGCAAACTAGGGAAATGAATTGCATCTTTCTTCTAGCTACCGGCAATTAAATGCATCTTTTGGCATCTGCGGGAATTAATTGCATCTTTTGGCATCTGCCGGAAATTAATTTCATCTTTGGACGGTTACTAAGGGATTTGAATTGCATCTTCTAGCAACAACTGTCTACGGAATCCCTTGAAGACAACACCCCACACCATTGTCATGACTACACTGGATGTGTGAGTGTGTGTATGTGTGTGTGTGTGTGTGTGTGTGTGTGTGTGTGTGTGTGTGTGTGTGTGTGTGTGTGTGTGT